GAGGGCTGCAGCTATAAGTAGCTTCTGAGAACAATGGATACCATGGAAGTGCTTTGGGGGCGTCCCATATAACAAAGGAAGCCAACAATTAAAGGTGGGAAAGGATTGAATCACCACCAACAATAAAAAGGATAGTTCTCCTTCTCCCTTTCTCTGTCCCTCTCCCCCTTCTCTACACACACACACACACACACGCGCGCGCGCGCATAGGGCAGACACAAAGATTTGCGTTACAGCACTTAAGACTAGACATAAGCAGATTGCAGAACCATAGATAAAAGACAATCCCATATTTCTGTAGGTAAGAATGATCAATTACTATCAATTTCATGTAGTTTCCTGCTAATATATGTATAAACATATATTTATGCACATAACCTTATAGATATATAATCACAGGGGAAAAAAGACCTAGGCTTGTATATGTAACTTAACATAGTGGTGCTTATCTTTTGGTGATGGAATTATGGGGTTGTTTTGTGCTAATCTGTATTTTTTAGATACAGTGATTGTGTATTAACTGTAAATAATAAGGGATTTTTGAAGAAAATATGACAATTTAAAACAAAAATTTTTCAAAAACACTTGCATCTTTAGCTTGTAAATACACAAAATAATTATAAGACTGAGTTATAATTACTTATCATCAATTTCCATTTACCCAGAAAGTACCTCTTGGTGTATCAGTTAGACCCTGAGAAACCTAGGGTGATTTTCCCAAACTGCAACTCAGCTGCCACTGGCTCAGACTTACATCTGTCTGTCTGCAAGAGCCTCCTGGACCCATCTGTGTACCCAGCTACCCCACAGCCTCTTAGAGGGGACAAAGAAGAATTGAAGTTGAGTACACAGGGCCCCAGATTTGTTGCCAGGAAGTGGTGGTGCCCTCAGTAATCACAAAAACACACCCCAATTAATCAAGGGCTCCTGGAGAGGGGCCCAGTCATAGGTTTTTTTTTTTAAACTCTCCAGGTGATTTTAATGTGCAGCCAATATGAAGAACTGTTGCCCTAATGGATTAATTTACTCAGGGGTCATTTGAACATGGCCTTGGAGAGAGAGAAAATTAAAACGGAGAGGATTTGGTTGACCAGGGCCAGTTGGATGCATGGCCCTGAGTCTTGTGAGAAAGTGATTATGCAAACAGAATAAAAGAACATGCACCGTGGGGCGAGCAGTTCTTGCAGAAGACAGCAAGGTCAGTGGGTCGCCCTCTCTTGAGTTCACGGGAGAACAATCTCTAATCAGACATTTCCAGCTGGGAAAATGGTCTATGAGTACAGCTCACCGACAAGATACTGGTATTTCACAAAATACAGCAGAACCCAATTTTGATGTGGATGCCAGGGGAGTGATGCTCTCTTGGGCACCTGTCATCCGGCCTTTTTTGTGAGAAGATGCAGGCTGACACATGTGCTGGGCCTCGGCATAACACACCCGTGGTAGAGGAGCGGCTCTTTTTATAAGTTTTAGTCTGCTTTCAGAATTCAAGTGGATCTCTTGGAATGTCTTTGGTAGTTATGATAAAGACTTACTAGGGTTAAAGCTGGGGAGCCTACAGGGGTCTTCTGATCCCTGCCCTTCTTTTTACATATCAGGAAGGTGAAGTCTCAGGACTGGACACATGGTTCTTCTGTTTGCTTTTCCTTTTTTTTTAATTGAAGTATAGTCAGTTACAGTATGTCCATTTCTGGTGTTACAGCACAGCGTCCCAGTCATGCATATACATATATTCGTTTCCATATGCTCTTTCATCAAAGGTTATTATAAGATATTGAATATAGTTCCCTGTGCCATACAGAAGAAATTTGTTTTTATCTATTTTTATATATAGTGGCTAACATTTGCAAATCACAAACTCCCAAATGTATCCCTTCCCACCCTCTTCCCTTGGTAGCCATAAAATTGTTCATATCTGCAAGTGTCTTTCTGTTTTATAGGTGAGTTCATTAGTGTCCTCTTTTTTTTTTTTAGGTAACACATATGAGTGATATCATACAGTATTTTTCTCTTTCTAGTTTCACTTAGTATGACAATCTCTAGGTCCATCCATGTTGTTGCAAATGGTATTATTTGACATGTGTTTCTTAACTCCCGTTCAAGTACCTCCCCCCAGAAGCGACTAGAATTTCTGATCTGGCGCTATGACTGTCTCCACGCAGTGGCACATGAGTCATTTTTGAATTCTGCACGAGTCTGATGATCGTATTCGTATGTTAAAATTATTATTTATCAACTGTTCATTGCTGAACACGGGCTACCCTTTGCTGCATGGCTTCAGTTTTGTTTAGTCCCCAGGACCAGCCTCTGAGGACATTATTACTCTCATTTTACTGTGGAGAACACTGAGGTCACAGAGGTAGATGAAGACGAGTCAAGATTTAAATCCGTTTCTGATCCTGAGAGTGCACCAATCGCACAGCACACTGCCGATGGTGATGGCACCAGAGCTGGGTGACTGCCCTGCTCTCTGCTCTGCATCCTCGTGGCCCCAGTCCCCTGTCCAGGGACCTTCAGCCCCATTCACTCTCTTTACCCAGAGCTGTACTGGGTCCAGTACACCCCCATTTTTTCACAGCATGGCTGTATTCTATTTATTCTTCTGAGGAGCAGTTACATATCTCACCTGTTTTTAATGGAGTTTCATTTCGCTCCCCAGCATAATCTTCGTTCCTGTGGTTTAGCAGGAAGAAAATACCTTGAAGCTCAGCCAGGGTTCTAAACAGATGTTCTGCACGTCTCTTTGTGTATTCCTAGCAATATATCACTTTCAGATGTCTTAGCCTTGGCCTGCCAGCATCCCTGTGCCCATGCCAAATGCTTTCAGAGAGCATGCAATAAGCAAAAACTGAAGTCAGGGTAAACCCACCAAAGTTGTTTTATTCTAATCCTTGACTGCATTAGCATCTGGACTTTGGAAAGTACCACCTGCTCTCAGGAGAACTGGTATGGCCTTGAAACTGTGCAGTAAGGGGAATGCAAGTTTTCTGTTTCTGTTTTCCTGACTGTGTAAAAAACCTGAATATGTTCATATCAACTTGAACAAATTATTACCTTTTATGAGGACTTTTCTGCTTTCAAGAAAAAGTGGCCAGGATGGACCTAGAGATGGTCATATTAAGTGAAGCAAGTCAGACAGAGAAAGACAAATATCGTATGATGTGGCTTATATGTGGAATCTAAAAAAATAAAATAAACATTTTATTTACAAACCAGAAATAGACTCATAGACATAGAAAACAAACTGTGGTTACTGGGGGAAAGAGGAGAGGGGGCAGATTAGGAGTTTGGGGTTAATAGATATACATTACTGTATATAAAATAAATTACAAGGACCTACTGTATAGCACAGGGAACTATATTCAGTTTCTTGTAATGAGCTGTAATGGCAAAGAATCTGAAAAAATTATATGTGTGTATATCTATAACTGAATCACTTTGCTGTACACATGAAACTAACACTGTATATCAACTAAAATTAGATAAAAAGTAAGAATTAAAAAAAGAAAGAGTGGCCAGATACTACCCTTTGCCAGTTAATTTTCCCCTTATTGTGGAAAAAAAAAAGTTTGCCCTTTTGCAAGAATGATTTACACCCAACTTTTAAAAGCTACTCTCATATGTATATATAACAAATCATTTGGCAAGACAGACAAGAGTTGTATTTAAAGCCCACTGCAAGGGTTTTCTGTCAAAATCAGTATTAGGTGCAGGAGTGGGTTAGGGTAAGGGATATTCTGGGAAGGATTTGGAATATAGAGCTGTGTCTCTTTGCCTGGGAGGGGTGATGGTGCAGTCAGCCAGATAATATTTATGAAGTCCTCAAGTGTGTACTGTGTGAGATTTGATTCCGTTAAAAACTTCATCCAAAATGACAGTGTCTCGCCCGACTTGGCTTGCCTGCAGACAAGTGGAGAAAGGAGGCTACACAGGGTGACCTTTCAAGGTCCCCTCCCTTAGTGGGAGTCTGTGAATGGTTAGCAACAGCCTTCGTGCTGGTAGTTAGACAGTGTTCTATCTGCACTCTAAGAAGGGACTAACGACAGGGATGACACACCACCCAAATCTTCTGGAAGTTGACATGGTGTCTGAAATGTCGTCTTCCCAGGTTTCTGCATTGGGGTGGAGTTGTGTTGACCTGGGACGGGGCCAGGAGCAGGGGAAATGGATAGCGGAGGGACCGTGGTAGAAGGCAGAGTTAGCCACAGGCACCGCGTCTCAAAGTGACTTGCACGATTATAGCAAAATTATTTGATGATGAAAGATAGCAGGAGATGGTGGTTGAAGAGCAATGGGGAGAACCGGTAAAAACATCTCACTTGCTTTAGGAAAAGACTGAATGTCTTTTCTCTTTATCCATCTCATCTGACTGATGTTGCTCAATACCTTGATTTTTTTTTAGATTTTTAAAGAACACTTTTCCGTTAAGAGAGATCATCCACATTTTAACAGATAATCAAGTCAAACCAAAAAGAGGGTGATATCTTAAAAACAAGCCTTCAACATGCTCACAATACTGCATCTATACCCAACAAGAACAGATAAAAGGAAGAACTTGGAATTTTTTATTCAGGTCACGGTAACTGCAAACCAATGCAGGATCCCTTTAAACATTTATTCATGGTTCATTTTTCTATCATCATATATAGTGAAATAGCATCCCTTACCTGAGCAGTCTTCTGGCTGTATATAGAAAAGGGACAAGGGTGCAAGCTCATTGCTCTCATCATGCTGATAAGAATCTAGCAAATGCAACACAGAGAAACTCTAGGAAGCCTGAGGGATTTTTTTTTTTAAAGGAATGAAGCAATCATCCTAGAAAAATACTGCAAAAGAGAAAAATAAAAAGAAGTTTGAAAAGGAAAAATATGAACAACATAATCCATATTGTCTGCAGAAAGAAAATGTTTCCTTTATAGAGGAAGACGTAAAGGGATATAGGAAATAGCTGCTCCGTGTCAATTTATTAAATGCAACTTTCTTTTTTCTCTTTCTTTTAGATAAAAAACCTCTTCATGAAATAAAACCCCAAAGTAAGTTACTTTTCCTCTTGTGAATATAATTTATTCTCATATTTGCTGCCTTACCGTTGTATTTGTTTAGAAGCCAAGTAGAATTCGTACAAAGGATCCCGGGTTTGGGGGGTTGGGGGGCTTCTTTTTGGGTTTGGAGTCACATGTCAGAGATACAAACTGAAAAGAGATATGCACACCCCTCCCCTCCCTCACAGTAAAAGTAAATCTCTCCTCTTGATCCTATCTGCCTGTATCAGTCTGTTTCTCTGCAAATGTCACCTAGGACTCTTATTTTTAAGGCGACTTATACCATTAAAATTAATAAATATTTGTCAGTGCAGGCTCTCATGAGAGCAGCCTTGGGCAAGAGCCTCTCCACAGAGGACCGGGAGGGGGCGCCTGAGAGGCAAACTCGAAATCCCCGGCAACTGGATAGAGCAGGAACCTGAAATCACCAGGAATTGAACATGGTGGTGTGGGTAATGGCTTGAGCTCCTTATATGTTGGCTTGCTTCCTGGAGAGTCTTTTGTGTTCCCCCATCTTACGCATTCAGTAGATTTTGAAAAAGGGACACAGGTTGAATGATTGGCAGCTGGGCGTTCAACCCCATGGTTCTCAGCCGTGGCTGAACTTTAGCGCCATCTGGAGGCCTTTTAAAAATCCCAATTCTCAGGCTATACCCCAGACCATGAAATCAAAATGGGAAGGAAGGGGCTTAGAACCCAGGAACTCCTAGTTTTAAAAGCTCTTCAGGTGATTCCACTGTGCAGCTCAGGTTGAGAACCACTGTCTTAGTTTTCCCTGCCGTCGGCTGCCCATAAAGCTATTGGTGGTACCTGGGTAGCGGTCCTCAGAAATCATGCATACTTGATTTTGAACTCATAGGAAGAGGGAAGGAGGGGAAACCTGGTTTGTATACTTAGGTGCACGTTGAGAGAGGGAGGACAAAACGGGTCACTGAATGTTTGGCTTGTGCCTGTGTCAAGACTTGAAGGTGACAGCTGGAGTAAGTGGACCCCTGACTGCCTCCTGGTCATAGAGCCCCCTGCCATCCCCCGATTCCTGTATGTAGCAGAAGCAAGACCACGGGTATCCATGTGGTGGTCGATGTGAGAGTTGCTTTGAAATGCGTGTGTTTTTTTAAAATTAATTTCATGCTTAGTTTGTGAGTCCTGTGCCGTTCTAATTTGGTTACATCCTACTTTCAGTCCTAAACCCCACAGTACCTATTTCTGGTCCTGGGGGACTCCAGAATGAGTTTTTGCTTGGGGTTCCTGCTCCTGAACACCATGCTTAATTGCGGGATACTGCAACGGAATCTTTTAAATTGTTTTAATTTGTGATTTCCTAAAAATAAAACCTGAACAGAATCAATGTGATTGCAAAGGCTCCCAGAGGAATCCAATCGGGGTTCTGTGCACCGCGAGATTAGGAGTGCATGATACGAATGCACGCTGTGGTTGTTCAGTGAGAAAGGGGCTTAGTTTAAGACTACATGAATCAGCTCTGATGCAAAATCAAAGTCAATTATGAAGATAATTGAGAAACAACCTGTTCCTCTATATAGCTGTGCACATGATCCTCCGCGCGGCTCGGTGGATGGAAACCATCACTCAGCCTTGTGCACAGATCTATGTGAGGTGGGTCCAGGAGCCAGTCGGGAGTTGCAGGAGATGTAAAAAGAAAGTAAAGTCTTAAGATATCTGTTGGCAAATCATAATGACAAACTGGGGAAAATATGTGTGCGGCATAGCTCATGAAAGCACTTATTGTAAATGAGATAATTTAATCAATTACGTTTCCTAATGTACTAAACCGAATGTTTCATTTTCTGCTTCTGCACATCTTAAATTATCTTCAGGTGCTTTATGAGATTTAATCATAGTTAATAGAAACTTCATTACCATCAAATGTGCTTTCAATAAATGTTGTGTAACAATGTCAGGAGGTGCAGTAAAATATAGTCGGTTCTGAATGGCAAACACGCACCCCCAGAGTCAGACTGAAAAATGGTTGTGTTCAGACAATGAGACTCCCGGAGGCTGGGGCTGTGGCTTTGTGAGAGGCTGTGAGCCCCTGAGGAGTGGCTGGTTCAGCAGGCTCACCTCCGGGATGGAAAGGGTTTCTTTTGCCCATGGCAAGTAACTCAGAATTCTCTCATCTCCGTTCCACCGACTTGTTCTGTGACTAAGAGAAATGCACGCTAAACGCGAATCCGATCTACTGTTCTAGAGTCCGCTACCTCCCAGACACCTCCAGCTGAATGTCTCCCAGTAACCTGAAGTGCAGCTTTTTCAAAACTGAGTGCATGCTTTTCGGTCCCTGTTTTTAACTCCCATCTTCTCTAGTCCCAGGCATACTCTGCCTTCAACTCAATTATCGGGGTCCATAACTTTGACAGCCTCCCAGACCCCTCTCTCTTTCCTCTCCTCCTCCAGCACTCAGTGAATCATTACAACCGAACCATTCTGCCACCTCAGTAGATCTCAAGTTCACCAACTTCTCTCCATTTCCACTCTTTTCTAGCCACCCCTCGATTCATTCATCAGCTGTTTATTGAGAGCTTCCCACGGGCGAGGATGTGTTTCAAGAGGTGGAGAGTCGGCACTGAGCAGAACAGATAGTTTTTGCTCAAACAAAGCTTCTAGCGTTAGTGAGGGAAGATGGAGAAACAAACCAGACAATGTAGAGGGTCAAGTGCCGTGGAGGGGTGATAAGTGCTATGAAGAGAAATACAGCAGGATAAGGGGCTGGGGCGGGGTTGGAGGGAGTGTGACTTTTTCATATAAGGTGTTCAGAGAAGTTCTCTGTGGATAAAATTACATTTAAAAAGAGACCTGAAAAAAAGCAGACACAACCATTCTGGGTGTCTGGAAGGAGAGACTGCAGGGGACAGCAGGAGGCAGAAGCTGTGTGGGGGGAGCTCGTCGCAGTGTCCGAGGAAGAAATTAGGTCAGGATATGTGGAGCAGAGTGCCAAAGGGAAGAGTCAGCATCGCTAAGGTCAAAGAAGTGGGGCGAGGGGAGAACCTGCCAAGTGTATTACAGGCCATTGTAATGATTTTGACCTTCACTCTGAGCGAAATGGAAAGCCATTGAGGCTTTTTATTCATAGTGACATGACCTCATATTTTCAAGGATAAACTCTACCTGCCCGGTAGAGTATAAACGTATCGGGAACCAGAGCAGAAGCGAGGAAATCTGTTACGATGATCTATCGTAACAATAATCTATTACAATAATCTAGGCTATTACGGTAACCTAGATTCAAGATGACTGTGGCTTGGGCCAGAGAGATGGCATTAGAAATTATAAAAGCAGGTCATGTTCTGGGTATCTTTTGAAGGCAGAGTCCAAAGGATTTGCTGATGGATTGGCTGTAGAGTGTGAGAGAAGGAAAAAGCATTTGGGATGATTCCAAACTGGGCTGTGCCACTCGGAGGAGGGACTTGGCCAACACTGATATGGGGAGAAGTTGGTGGAGCACGTCTGGGAAGAGATGCAGGAGCTCAGTGTCACAAATGCTAAATTTGAGATACCTCTTACGCCTCGAAATGGAGAGGTTAAACAGGCAGCCAAATATATGAGTTTGGAGGTCAGAGGAGAGTCCTGGCTGGTGACATAAATCTGGGGCTTGTCAGTGTCCAGATGATATTTAAAGCCATTAGGTTGAATGAGATCACCAGATAATGAGTGTGAATAGAGAAGGTATCTGAGGACTGAGCCCTGAAGGACATCATCATTTAGATGTAGAGGCGGTCAGAAGTCACTGCGGAGGAAACAGAAAAACAACAGCCAGCATAGTAAGAGAAAAACCAAGAGAAGAGAATAGTGTCCCAGGCGAAATTTTTTTTTTAAGTTTAAGCCATTTTTCTTCCTAACAGAAATTTCTGCAGTTGCTTCCTGTATCTAGTCTTGCCCTACATCAATTTCCCTGATCTTTCTAAACCATCAGTTCTGGCCACATCACCTCCTTTAAACCTCTTCAATAGCTGAGCATGATTTTGAAGATAAAGTCCAAAGTACTTGATATACATGAGATATCTGGTCTCATTTGGCCTTTTTAATCACATCAGTTTCTCTCAAGCAGCCTAACCTTGAGATATTTTTCTTCCAATTCTCTCACCACTTCCCAGATTCTTCAGCCAAACAAAGCTTCTTCGTTTTGGGGACAGCCTGTGCCCATTTTGCCATATAGTGCCTTACACATTCTGGTACTTCTGCCTGAAACTTTCTCTCTACCTAATCTCAACCTGTTGAATTTATCCTTCCTTCAGGTTTGACTTAGGTGTCACTTCTGCAAAGCATTTGCCGTCTTCTCCTTCCCTCCCTCAAACACCAAGTCTGGGTTAGTTACTCCTGTAATTTGCTCAGTATTAAACAATTTCCCTATTTCTTTACTGCATGTTCATTGCCTTTATCCTGGGCTGGATTCCCTCCCTGATAGACGTGATTCCTGCCATCCGGTAGAGAGTGTAGCATCTTGTTCACTCCTATGCTTGTAGCACTCACCGCCATGCCTAGTATGGATTAGATGCTCAATAAATAGTTGTTATCATGGTCTTGCCCCTTCCTGCTACCTCCACACTGAGCCTTGTAGTGTTAAGGTGAAAATAAAGAGTTTGCTTCTGTATAGTTTAACGCATTCATGTAGTAGATATTTATCACAGTTATCTATAGAAAGTCTTGGCCCAGAGAAACATGAAGGAAAAAATGAGAAATGTTCCCCATGGGAGGGTATAGCTCAGTGGTAGAGTTACTGGTTTCAATCCCCAGTACCTCCATGAAAATAAAGAAATAAACTTGATTACCTCCCCCTCTAAAAAAAAAAAGTTTCTTCCCCACAACTTCAGTACAAAGTAGAAGATAAATGATTTGAGAAAAGGGAAGGAAAGGAGATAGTTTTTAATAGTCATCTATTCTGTGCCAGGTGTTGATGTGCGTCCCAGAAACAGTTCTGTCAAAGAACGGCCCGAGTGTGTCCTCAAAGTCTGAAATTGGGTATTTCTCTTCTAACA